TTTAAATTTCAATTCTTTGTTGGTTGCCATGGCTGTTTTCACATTCGACTCTGCCTCTTGGCAGGTTCTCCCCTTGTAGGTGTGTGGGTGGGCGGCCAACCGCCCTTCATTGCTGCGGTTGCGGCCTGGTCAGACGTGGCCTGATCTGTGAGTACTTTGCGACACTCTGTTGCACTTATGGACTCTGTTTGGTGGTCGGGTCCCACGCGGCGGCTATTCTGTTTGATATTCTTTTTGAATTTGAATAAAAACCAGATATTTATATTTGATTTCAAGCAGCTTAGGCCTTTGTACTTGAACAACACTTAAAATTGTTTGATGTTGTTGTACTTTTGGACTGCAAAGTTGGCAGAGTATTCCGTGCTACTTGTGTTCTGTTCGGTGCCACTATTTGCTGCAACTTTGCATTTTAATGTTGCACACAACCAGTTGTCATTTGGTTGGCATAAATTGCGCACACAATTTTGGGCAATCTGGCTGAGCGAGTGGTAAAAACTGCCTCTGAAATGTGGGAAATCATCTGTCAAATGGGGTTTGTTTTTCCCACGTTTTTCGCACGTGTGGCCCAGTCCTGCCCGACTGGTGAAAGCATTTCAAATGACATGTTGCTTACACTTGAGTGCGTCCATGAACATGACCAGATTTCAATTGTCACGGTTATGGCGATTTTGCGATTTTGCGATTGCTTTTCTCCAGCTTGACTCTGTCTGGCTTTAAAGTGCGGGGCTTTAAACTTTGCCGGGAGCCAAGTTGGCCCAGTGTCGTCGTCGTCTCCTGGGCAAACTCCTAATGAATCGGTGCCATTGTTTGTCCCTTTGTCGCGGTGCTCTTGCCGGGTGGCATGCTTCCAAGCCATTTTAATTCTATTACCCATTACCAGAGCTGACTGCGACTGGTGCGACTGGAACTGAAGCTGGGACTGCACTTAATTTCTATTATAATGATGACATGCCGGCTGCCAGGCAGCGCCTGGGGCGCTGCAGTCTGAGGCCCGCCAGATGACACGCCCACACGTAGCCATGTAGCCACGTAGCCCCTTTTATCTCCCCCCCAGCGCTACCCCTTTTCATTCCTTTTCATTTCTTTTCAGCTATTCCCTCTAGCATACCCTTGGAGAGGAGGACTGCGTTTCCGATCCCATAAAGTCTGCTATCAGGTCTGTGTATCGCTTTTCAACATTTAATTTTTACAGCCGCCAGTAAAAGAGTCGAAACTTCATAGCTTTTTAAAAAATACTGCGAGCGATCGACCCAAATACCAGGGTGCCCTCATGCCCCTCAAGAGGGCAAGATGTATGGGCAAGGGTATCCACGCTTCGGTTCCTGGCACTGGCATTTCTTTCTTTTCATCTCCACTATTTTCTTCCGTATTTTTTCTCATCTTATTTCCTTTTTTTTTTTGCCATTTGGCGTCGCGACGCTTCCGCTTTTATGGACATTTAGATGCAAAGTTTCTGGCATAAAAATGGCGTGGCAGATAATTTTCATAATTTTCAACTACATTGCATTGTGTGTGTGCAACTGGGCGGGGGCGTGGCGGCAGCAGGCTGGCCCTTCCCCGTCCGCTCTCGACTGCGTCGTTATTCTCCGTTTTATTTTCGAGCGACACTAAAAAGGAAGCGCCGCAGTCAGAGTCAAAGTTGGTTTTTATTAGCGTTCGGTGCCCGGCATTTCAGAGTTGGTCATTTTGTCGTCGCTGTCGTCGTTGTCGTCGTCGTTGTCTGGTCCTGGCAGTGTATTATATTTTATTGGGCCAGCGAAGTCCTGGCGAAATTTATGAACTCGAATAATACGAGCAGCGTAATGCGCTTTAAGCCGTTCGGCAAAATGCAGCAAATTCGCCCGCCTAAAAGTATGCCATGGAATCTTTTCGCACTGTTGACGCACCGCCAAACAATGTACGTAACGGCAATGCAGTGGCGGCTGGAGAGGGGAGCATGTGTGGGGAGTGCTTAGCACATTGCAATCAAAATGATAATGTGACAAAGTTACATCGAACGTATTACAAAACCCACACAGACACAGACACATCCACAGCCACGCGTTGATGTCGTTAGCGGTATGTGTGTGTGTGTGTGTGTGTGTGTGTATCTGTGTAGGTGGTTGCGTGTCGATGCCGTTAAGTGTTTTGCCAGCGAACGCGCTCACGGTGCGGATGCACTTCTTTGACTCATTCCGATCCAGCTTGCCCCATATGGGGGAAGGGGGGTGGGTGATGCGTATGGGCGTCTGGTGTGCCATTATCGAGCAAGTGCTCATGTGGGGGCACGGCAAAGCGATTCTGAAAGACAATGGAAACGCAGTTATTACTTTCTTTTGCCTTTCTTCATTGTCTGATAAACGCAAATCGAATTTCTGCAGTTCGATTGTAATGGCCACCGATGGGACTTTGGACTTACACATTCTAATGTCGGAATGCTGGAACGAGAACGAGAGCATTATCTAACACTTGTTTAGTTAACTATCTTATGTGATGTGATAACCGACCGAACTTCTTTAATTGGAGCACTTGTAAGACTCAATCACTTGAAAATTAAGTATTTTCCGACTATATATTTCAGATAGGGCTATTGCCGAAACACAGCCAAGTGTACTTATCATTTAAAGGATAATATCAGAATACAGTGTTAAACAGGTTTTAAAATAGTATAATATAATAGTATTAGTCCGTGTAACTAAATGTTTAAGAGGTTGATTGATTCCATAAGAGTCCGATAAGTGTATTCGTATTCGATAATCCATTTCTTACTTTAAAACCCCTTGACATTCCTGACTCTTTTTCATGAATTGCCGCACATTCAATACATAATTAATTGTTGCGATGACAAGGGATTTTTGGCTATTTGATAAGGGCTTGGCCTGCTATCAGTCGATAAGCTTATCATGGGCTCTTTGCGAGCCATATCACTATGGCTAATTCAATTATAGCCAATTCAATTAACTTATTGTGCGGTCAAGGACAATATTCCCTTGAACTGTATTAAGACAGGATAGGACAGACGCTTTATCTGCACTCAACCGTCAGGTAATAAACTCTGCATCCCAGAGGATGGTAATCCTTGCTGGGAATATCAGCTGCCAGGGTGGTCGGGCTGCGACATGCCACAAAAATGCTTTGCATATCGTGGCACGCACAGTCTGCATATTTTGCATACCCCCCGCAGGACTCTTTATGTGCCGCTTCGATTGCTTTCGAATAGGTGTGGCAAGGGCGAGAAGCCGGCGGGCAATTGTTTTGTCAACTGTCGGATCTGTTGGACCGAAAGTGGCATAGATCTAATTTAAATGTAAATTAATTTTTCCCATATGCCGGCACACTCGTATAAATGCCGGTGCTATAGACAGGGCGAAAGTTCTGAGCCGACTTAGGCAACAGTACTTGGTGGCAAGTTCGTCTGCATTTATAGATTGCAACTTGGCAAGTTTGGCCCCCCGCCTCCTTCTCTGCATTATGACCATTCTCTGGTCGGTTCCTGCTCCTGCTGGGAAAACCTTTCTGGCATTGAAAATGCTGCAAACGTTTCCGCTTTGAACTTTGCCATATCCGGCATTTGCTTACAATTCAAATTGGCTTTCAGGGCAGGACGGCCCGGGGCATGTAAAAGAGATACCAACTTTCTGGCTTTGGCTTGTGTGTGTGTCTGTGTGTGTGTGTGTGTGCAGGAAAGTTACCAACTTCAGGTGTAATGTGCGGAAGTGCTCACATTCAGAGCTTGGTCTTCGTTTATGCACTTTAATGTAAATATTTGTACACCAACTTGCCTAACAGACAGACAGCTTGTCCTTCCTGCCCTGAGTCCGGCTCTGAGTCCTGTCCCGAACCCGAATCAATTTGCCCAAGACACGTGTCACATTTTGCACTGCGGCCAAAATGTTTTCTTTAATTTGATGCAAAATTGTATCTCGTGTGGTGTTTCGGGCACCTGCGAGGCGTGTGTTTGGCTTCTGGAAAAGTGTAAAAATTTGTTATCTTCAAGTGCACACAGCGTGCACTCTGCAGCTGAGAACTGCAAATAGTAGCAAATGAATTTGCAGTGCTCATGGTGGCTTAATTGAAAACTTATCAAATTTATGTCACCTGCCACCTCAAGGGGCCCCCTGGGCACTCGACGGACATGGGCTTTGCTTGTAAATAAAAAATTCCAATTAATACATCACCTGCGGCTGCCACTGCGGCCAGTTCACGTGTACTCATTAGATTAGAGTGGATGCAAGGGTCGGAATGGTTCTTGAGGCACTTGGGATAGTCGCTGCTCACTTGACCACTTGGCGGAGCGCAACTGGTGGCCCGTTGAACGACCCCCACGCGACAGGCACTCGAAATCGGCGTGGCTGCATGCCGATGCAAATGCCGAACCTTAAAAATAGACTCCCGCTGGAGCTGCGTGTACCATCGATAGTGAATCAATCGTTCGATAGGACCGTATGAAAATGGCGAATCGACTGACGCGCTCATATTTCTCGCCGCCCGGGCGGAGCCGCGCGAGCAAAGTGCGCCCTGATAAGGGGTCGCTGTTTTTCCGATCAGCATCGTAAAACTAAGCCAGATATACGACCATACCCCACGCGAGCGTTTGCTTGTGTGCCTCTGGAATCTCAGCCTGCGGCTGTAAATCACGCCCCACATTGGCAGCATTAACACCAGCGATTTATTTGCTCCGCCCGGACTTCCCCCCGCCCCAGCCGCTGCCGACGGCTCGGGAACTCCACCACGTCTGTGGTTTTTCACAGGAATCCGCTCTAATCGGGCTGATCCCTCGATAGGCTCCAGTAATGGCCATTCCGCCTAATGGCTTGTCCCAATCAGTCTGCACTCGTCCGAAATCTCAGCCATCCCCCGCAAGACTGCGCATCGTCCGCAGAGAGCTCATATCTAATCGACCCCCCAAGCCGCGACGGGACACGGCACCCCAAGCGATCCGATAAGGTCTCAATTTGAATCGCAAATCACTCAGGCAGCCAAAACACCGTCCGCTGACGCCGATTCACTCTTTCCAGGCACTCCAGACACCGTATATAAGGCGCAGCAACAGCCGGATTGGACTCAGAGTGAAACATAGGTTCCATCTAGCATCAACATGTTCCTGACAAAGACCCTCGGGTGCATCGCCTTCCTGGCGATCGCCAGCGCCCAGTTCAACACCAACTACGTTGGTGGCCGCAGCGGCATGGTCCACCTCTTCGAGTGGAAGTGGGACGACATCGCCGCCGAGTGCGAGAACTTCCTGGGCCCCCAGGGCTACGCCGGTCTTCAGGTAAGATCCGTCCGGAGAGCTTCCCTCCACCGTCACCCAATCCTCATCTCCCGCCTCTACCTCCGCCTCCCTCTCAGGTGTCGCCCGTCAACGAGAACGCCGTGAAGAGTGGGCGTCCGTGGTGGGAGCGCTACCAGCCCATCTCCTACAAGCTGACCACCCGTTCCGGCAACGAGGAGCAGTTCGCCAGCATGGTCAGGCGCTGCAACAACGCCGGAGTGCGCACCTACGTGGACGTCATCTTCAACCACATGGCAGCCGATGGCGGCACCTACGGCACAGCCGGCAGCACCGCCAGCCCCAGCTCCAAGAGCTACCCCGCAGTGCCCTACTCCTCCCTGGACTTCAACCCCACCTGCGCCATCACCAACTACAACGACGCCAACCAGGTGCGCAACTGCGAGCTGGTCGGCCTGCGTGACCTCAACCAGGGCAACTCGTACGTCCAGGAGAAGGTTTCCGATTTCCTGAACCACTTGATCGATCTGGGTGTGGCCGGATTCCGCGTGGACGCTGCCAAGCACATGTGGCCCGCAGATCTGGGCGTCATCTATGGCCGCCTCAAGAACCTGAACACCGATCACGGCTTCGCGTCCGGATCCAGGCCCTACATCGTCCAGGAGGTCATCGACATGGGTGGCGAGGCCATCAGCAAAACCGAGTACACTGGCCTGGGCGCCATCACCGAGTTCCGCCACTCCGACTCCATCGGCAAGATCTTCCGCGGCAAGGAAAAGCTGACCTACATGTCCAACTGGGGCACCGGCTGGGGCTTCGCTGCCTCCGATCGCTCGCTCGTCTTCGTCGACAACCACGACAACCAGCGCGGACACGGTGCAGGTGGTGCTGATGTGCTCACCTACAAGGTGCCCAAGCAGTACAAGATGGCCTCCGCCTTCATGCTGGCCCATCCCTTCGGCACTCCCCGTGTGATGTCCTCCTTCTCCTTCACCGACACCGACCAGGGCCCACCCACCACCGACGGACAGAACATTGCCTCTCCCACCTTCAACAGCGACAAGTCCTGCGGCGGCGGATGGGTGTGCGAGCACCGCTGGCGCCAGATCTACAACATGGTGGCCTTCAGGAACGCCGCCGGCGATGCCGATCTCCAGAACTGGTGGTCCAACGGAAGCAACCAGATCTCCTTCAGCCGTGGAAACAGGGCCTTCGTGGCCTTCAACAACGACAACTACGACCTCAACAGCTCCCTGCAGACCGGCCTGCCCGCCGGCACCTACTGCGACGTCATCTCCGGCGAGAAGAGCGGCTCCTCCTGCACCGGCAAGACCGTCACCGTTGGCTCCGATGGACGCGCCAGCATCTCCATTAGCAGCTCCGCTGACGATGGTGTCCTGGCCATTCACGTCAACGCCATGTTGTAAGGGACTCAACATGTGAGACCCCAGCAATCAATCGAGATTATTACTATTAAATACACAATGAGAGCATAGCAAAACGCACTCTTTAGCAAAGAGGTTAGGGGTTCCTTCGTCAAGTAGGGCTAAAGCACTTTTCACGATATCCTGCCGGAGTGGTTGTTGTTAATGGAACTCCCGTGATTATGCCGCCGGCTGACACCTGTCTTTGGCTTTACTCTCCTCCGCAGAACCGCTCGGCGAGGCCACCCGCGTCCGGCGCGGTCTGTGGGTGGTGGCTTCCATATCCCATGTGGCATTAATATTTAAGAGTCTGCTTTGAAACTTGTTTGACAGGCTGTCAGACCATGTCTGCCGGCAAGGGGTAGAAGGTAGAGAGAGAAGGCACAAGGCACAAGGTAGAAGGTAGAAGGCGCCAGTCCCCTGAAAGTTGAAAACACATGCTCGCAGTGCTCGCAAACACATGACAGACAGTTTGTGGCAACTTTCAAAATAAAAACTACCCTGGATTGGGGCTTACCGCGTCCAAAGGAGGCTCCATAAAGCGCTGGAAATTTCTGTCAAATGGTTGATTGCAGGCCGATCGCAGGGCGCTAGAAATTTTGGCGTCCAATGATTCACTTGCCACGTTTCTTCAGCCTGCCTGGTGGCAATCCAAGGTCTCCTCATGCCCCATTTAGGCACGTGTGTCGGCCCCATGCCCAAACAATGGCGTCCATCATCCCTCGCGGAGGGAGACGCGCCAGAGTCGCAGAAAAACCGAAAACAAACGCCGTGTGACTGCTTGTGTGGTTTCATTTTGATGTTTTGCATAAATACAAGAATGCCTTCCTTTGTCAGCAGATTTAAATTAATTTTTGTGCACCCCAGAAGCGGGAGGCAGCGGAGCCCGTTGCTCAACTTCCAGTCCACCTCAGTCACACCCACAACCACCCACAACCACCACACTCTGTCCCATTCCAGTCGCCGAGGAGCCCGTGCAACCGCAATCTAGACATGTTCAGCTTTGACTTTCAGCTCGTTGTCGTTCGTGTGTCTGTGCGTGGGTATCTACATATCATTTTTGATGTGAATTCTGATTTTCTGCCCTTTATGTAGATGGATTTTCCTTCTTGGCAGAGCTAACCGCACGCACATCTGTACATATATGTCAGGCAGAGTGAAAGGACCAAGGAGGGCTAGCCAAGGTGGTCGAAGATTCAGATACCCTTGCAGAAGCGTGTAATATAATGCTTTGTCAGGGGCAGATAGCAGGGCTGCTCTACCTCTTCTTCTTCCTCCATTTTTGATGTGCCTTGAGTGCAGTAAGTCGCGCCTGTACTCTCTCATTGCTCTCTCTCGGCTATTTCTCGCTCGCAGACACGAACTCGCCGCACTCGGCTGAGCCGACTCTCTTTCGCTCTGCAAATACGAATCGAAAGAGTAACGGACTACTCTACTGCGTAGTTTCCGTCTTTTCCTATCGATCCTCCTTCGACTACAGACTACAGACTACAGCTTTAGTTGTGTAACTCTCTTATATGCCCGTCTAGATTATACAAACATCTAAACAACATCGTAATACTCCTCCCTGGGCTAGGGTATAGCAAGGTGGGATGGGGAAGTGCCCCGCACACTCACTGCCACACTCTAAATCACGTGGAGCATATGAAAATTGCGTTTGCGTAATAAAAAGTTGGGTTTATCTGCGCTGCGTTCACTTAGAAAACTGATTTACTTTGCAATTTTATGACTTTATTAAGAATTATGCGATGTTTTGAATACATTTACAATACGCAATCTGCCCTGGACCGAGCGGCAGACGGCAACCCCAGATTCCTGGCTGAATGCAGGCCCGGAACGAAGTCCTTGCCACAACCTCCTAGTTGGTCTAACTCCTGCTCATCTGCATTGTGTGGGGCCCGCTCCCTCTCTCTTGACCCACAGTAAATGACAGGAAAATCCTCTGATATGTTGCTCACATTTATTCATATCAAGTCGGGCCATGGTCGAAAGTTATGAGTGCATATTTTTGTGGAACGAAAATGCACATCGCACTGCACTTGCACTGGGAAACAGTTGCCGCAACAGGAGTACGAGCAGCAGCTCTTCGAGCTATATTTGTTGAACAGATTTAAGTGCGAGCTACTGTTTGCCAATCTCCGTGCCACTCGCATCTGATTCCGACTCCTGGACACCGAACCCATATAAAAAGACCAAAATTTGCTCATGCGAAGAGCACAAATAAGCGCACTGCAGAGGACCAGAGTGCCGCATATCTCACAAAGGGGCAAAGGGGCAAACAAACACTATACTGCCCTGTGAAATTTGTGTTGGGGAATGTGTGGAATTGTCGTGAAGTACCAAGTGCGTGGGGGGACCTTGTTTGACGCACGATACACGACGCTCGTACTATTCACGTTGTACAGCCACCTCAGTTCACCTGTAGTTGGCATCTCTTACCGCCTCTTATCTGCAGTGACCCATCTCTTTCTTTTGTTGTCCAGCATTTAATTAATTTCCACGTTCCGCACTGCTCGTCCCTTCCGGATTGAATGGAGGCTTCTCTACAACTTGGCGCAATACAATACGGATATCACTGACCATCTGGAAGTGCCCAGGCACCTGCCCTAACCCTTTATCCTTTCCAGCAGTCCCAACTCAGAGTCAACGAGCATTGCATAATATCATTGTGTATTTAATAGTAATAATCTCGATTGATTGCTGGGGTCTCACATGTTGAGTCCCTTACAACATGGCGTTGACGTGAATGGCCAGGACACCATCGTCAGCGGAGCTGCTAATGGAGATGCTGGCGCGTCCATCGGAGCCAACGGTGACGGTCTTGCCGGTGCAGGAGGAGCCGCTCTTCTCGCCGGAGATGACGTCGCAGTAGGTGCCGGCGGGCAGGCCGGTCTGCAGGGAGCTGTTGAGGTCGTAGTTGTCGTTGTTGAAGGCCACGAAGGCCCTGTTTCCACGGCTGAAGGAGATCTGGTTGCTTCCGTTGGACCACCAGTTCTGGAGATCGGCATCGCCGGCGGCGTTCCTGAAGGCCACCATGTTGTAGATCTGGCGCCAGCGGTGCTCGCACACCCATCCGCCGCCGCAGGACTTGTCGCTGTTGAAGGTGGGAGAGGCAATGTTCTGTCCGTCGGTGGTGGGTGGGCCCTGGTCGGTGTCGGTGAAGGAGAAGGAGGACATCACACGGGGAGTGCCGAAGGGATGGGCCAGCATGAAGGCGGAGGCCATCTTGTACTGCTTGGGCACCTTGTAGGTGAGCACATCAGCACCACCTGCACCGTGTCCGCGCTGGTTGTCGTGGTTGTCGACGAAGACGAGCGAGCGATCGGAGGCAGCGAAGCCCCAGCCGGTGCCCCAGTTGGACATGTAGGTCAGCTTGTCCTTGCCGCGGAAGATCTTGCCGATGGAGTCGGAGTGGCGGAACTCGGTGATGGCGCCCAGGCCAGTGTACTCGGTTTTGCTGATGGCCTCGCCACCCATGTCGATGACCTCCTGGACGATGTAGGGCCTGGATCCGGACGCGAAGCCGTGATCGGTGTTCAGGTTCTTGAGGCGGCCATAGATGACGCCCAGATCTGCGGGCCACATGTGCTTGGCAGCGTCCACGCGGAATCCGGCCACACCCAGATCGATCAAGTGGTTCAGGAAATCGGAAACCTTCTCCTGGACGTACGAGTTGCCCTGGTTGAGGTCACGCAGGCCGACCAGCTCGCAGTTGCGCACCTGGTTGGCGTCGTTGTAGTTGGTGATGGCGCAGGTGGGGTTGAAGTCCAGGGAGGAGTAGGGCACTGCGGGGTAGCTCTTGGAGCTGGGGCTGGCGGTGCTGCCGGCTGTGCCGTAGGTGCCGCCATCGGCTGCCATGTGGTTGAAGATGACGTCCACGTAGGTGCGCACTCCGGCGTTGTTGCAGCGCCTGACCATGCTGGCGAACTGCTCCTCGTTGCCGGAACGGGTGGTCAGCTTGTAGGAGATGGGCTGGTAGCGCTCCCACCACGGACGCCCACTCTTCACGGCGTTCTCGTTGACGGGCGACACCTGAGAGGGAGGCGGAGGTAGAGGCGGGAGATGAGGATTGGGTGACGGTGGAGGGAAGCTCTCCGGACGGATCTTACCTGAAGACCGGCGTAGCCCTGGGGGCCCAGGAAGTTCTCGCACTCGGCGGCGATGTCGTCCCACTTCCACTCGAAGAGGTGGACCATGCCGCTGCGGCCACCAACGTAGTTGGTGTTGAACTGGGCGCTGGCGATCGCCAGGAAGGCGATGCACCCGAGGGTCTTTGTCAGGAACATGTTGATGCTAGATGGAACCTATGTTTCACTCTGATTTCATTGAGATTTCTGGGGCGGCTTTTATAGGGGTCGCCGTTGACTTCGCGGGGAGTGATTTGCGATTCGATCTTATCGGCAGGCTTCACTCACTTCTTTCTCTCTGCGTGTGGGGCATCAGGCCGGCTGATTAGTGAAAGCCGGGACAGACGTTGTGGCTGATTGCGGGTATTTCGGCAGGGGACTGGGCCGGTGCTTGCGAACTGGCGCTGATGATTAGTTAAGTGGCTAATTATTTGAATTACTTTATCAGACTAATTCGGGGGCGATTGCGGAATCTGAAGTAGTCATCGGGACACTGCATTTCTCTGATATCGCCTCATGGGCTTGATTTGTGGTCCACTCCGGCTGCATGCTACTCAGAGCGTGATCGCGGTGAGCTCCCGCCTCGCAGATCATCCGATAATGGCGAAAAGTGGAACCCCTGGAATGTCAAATGTATAATATTAGCTGATTAATGGTGGTGTTTTTTCGTAGATTTACTCTGACAGGAAATCATAGTCCAGCATGATAATGATAATTATTGAAATGTCTTTTGCAGCCCACATATTAAAACTATTTATAAATGGTCTTTCCGTTGATATAAGCGGGGGGCAATAAATATTAAAATATTAAAGTCCAGCGCGTATCCGAAATGCGAACTAAAAAGGGGACCAAGACCTGGGGCTATCAAGGGGGGAGTTTGAGGATCTCGAGGTAAATTGATGTGGCACATTAGAGCTCCTAAAAATTACATTTGCCAACATTTATCTTGC